CCCCAGCAAACTGTTCTGTTTGGCAATCCAGCATAAAGCCAGTCCAGGAATAAAAAGAAAAATAAATCCCTAAGTTAGCTAGCTGAATGGAGAGTTACAGGAGCCAGGCCGTACCTTGTAGCTGAGGGCAGTTGAAGACCCAGCTACTACCTTCCCTTGCCTCATGGCCCTGCGTTCCAAAAGCAGTCTTCTACCCATGGAGAAGGGCAGGAAAAAGAAAAATGAGAGCTTTCTCTCATCCTTCAGCGGTATATTTATTTGCTTTCTTGATGAGTTACATGTTAGGCAGAAAAAATCTGAGCCACTCATTTTATCTCTACTTAATATGGAGCTGACTGACAAGGATGGACAAAGCAGAATCAATACTCCTGCCAAATAAGCCTCTGCTTTCTTCACATGGTGAATTCTCATAAAAGCACATCACACAATCAGATGGTTTGAAGGAGGACAAGGAGAACACCGAGGAAAGGAGCAAGGGGAAGGAGGCTGAGGTGTGCCAGGACCAGCCAGTGCAGGGTGGAGAAAAGCAACAGGAGGGTGAAGGAAGGAAGGAAGGGAAGCACGTGGCTCACCATTTCAATGCAACGGCAAAGGGACACTTTGGATTGAAAGATGACAACCAAAACTGATCTAAGAAAGCCTTACACATGGGCACAGGCACTCGCTGGAGCTGGAAGTCATACAGGGGTAGGAAGAGTCTTTGAAGATAGTTCAAGAGCGTGGATAAATTCTTCAAAGGATTCATCACACGTTGTCTGCTCCAAGGGTAAGGTACACATCCCCGACTTCCTTTTTTTTCTCTAATTGTGTAAGTTAGACTAACAAGAGATAGAACATTCTGATATGGGACTGCCCTAGTACAAAAGGAACTTCTAGGAGCACAGGCCTGTTTTGTCTGAAGAAGAATCTGTGTGCCCAAGCATTTGTTCATTTTTTTTTAATATACATACCAGCACGTATACTTAAAAAGTCCCAGCACACTATAAAGAAGATAAGATCCCCCTCCCACTGTGCAATCTTACACACCGAAGAAAGGATGGGGGGGAAAAATACCCAAACAAATCCTACAGCATGAGATGCCAGCCAGACTTTTCAGCATACTACTGAAAACAGGCTGCTTCTCCTTCAGGGTTTCTTAGACTTGTGTTTAAAGGTGTTGGGACGAGCCACTGGAGAAAGAGAGGAGCTGGGTTACACGAACTGGGGTGAGGGGGCTAGCAGGAATGCTGCTAGGGCTGATGACATGAGAAAGGAGACCAGGTTTTAAGCATTTTGCTTTCACCTGTTCTAGTGAAGGAATTCTCCACTCTAATGCCTGAATTGAACACCAGCAAGCACCAGACTCCAGGCTCTGGAACAGCCTGTGATAAGCAAGCCCGCCAATTTGTTCATACTTTCAAGCACAAAGTTTGTATAAATGAAATACCAATCATTTCCTTTTGATCTGAAGTGAAGGGAAAGGTGGCAAAAACTATTTTAAAAGTTCCCCAGCTTTGTTTTCAGAGGTAAGGAGGTAGGTTATGACTTGAGTATGAATCTTAAGACAGCTGCACTTTTATGTATACAGAAAAAAAAGCACGCACGCAAAAAGAAGCCTTTTTTCATCACCTCTAGGAGATTCAGCAGGACTTGCCAACAGCATTCAGGAGTGTGAAGTACATAAGTACATTATGTAAATACACTGATTCCATTAAACAGAACCATTTGTTTTTGTCTTCTCTGCAAACACATCTGCCTAAGTGCTCCAGCTTCGCCGGGCGCACGCGGAGTTTGGAGCATTATCCGCGGGGACCGCAGGCAGTTGGAAGCAAGCAGAGAGATAGAGCAGTTGTTAAGAGAGTAGTCAAGCCTTTACTAGTCTGACAGTTCCTAAAATAATGCTGCTTCACTTAAAAATGAACACACGCTTATCTCTGATCTTCAGAAACCTGACTAAAAGGTTACTCTTCCCTTGCCAGAACAGCATCCTTAGAAGTTTATGAATGCCTGAAGAGAACGGCTGAGCCCTGCCAGATGACTTTGTGGTAAGAGGAGGAGGCAGAAAGCCACCTCCTCACATGTGAAAAGAACACTGACAGAAAAAAAAAAAATATATCAGAGGATACACATTAAAAAAAGCTAGTTTCTAGTAGTCAGAGCTCTATGTGGCCACCTCATTATTTTGCAGAAAGGCACACACACACTAAAGTCTTGAGGACTCTGAAGACTGTTTCCTCCTCCTCCTCAGTTGCTTCTGACTAATGAATATTTTGAACAACAAACAGCTCCTGCCTGGAATTTGTGAATCCCTGAAAACCACCATTATTAGGCAGCAGGAATTGTGTGCATGCAACTCTGAAAAGCACAGCAGTCAGCTGCCTAGTGGTACGATCAAGGATTTACAGCTAGTTCTGGGAGTGCCAAAAAAAGTCCCCTACGCAAATCATTGTACTTCTGTGGTAAACATCATTACACCAACTTGAAAAGCACGCATTTCCCACAAGAAAAAGTTGGAGTTCTGTAATTATACCATAATTACGTGTTTACTTAGAAGTCATGTGAGCCTAAAATCTTTGTCTTTTAATGCAGCAGTGGTAGCACAGCTGTACCCATTCCTGCACGAACACGGGCAAGGCAAGGGTTTACCAATCCCCCTTGTGAGACCCTGCAGCCAAGATTTGTACCTTTAGAAGTTTATCTGCTTTTTCTGCCTCCACTGGTTGGGCTTGTGCTGGTATCACCTCGAAATACAAGCGTGGCCTTAAAAAGAAATTCACACCTCCATTTGCTAAACAAACTTGGAGGCAAAAACCCGGATCTTCAAAGTTTTGATACAAAGAACTGCATTCTTAAAACATAAAATGGTGTGTGTGTGTGTGTTAGCCTTGTGCTTCCCTTTCCAGCAGCTTACAGGAAGGGGGAAAATTCAGCATCTTTTGTGTTGTGAATAATTGCTGTAAAGCCCCCCCCATCCCTGAAGGACTACAAGAGCCTAAGCGTTCAGAAGAGAGAAAAAGAGTAGCTGGTATTGCTTGAATTTAACAGAATGTTAAATTCATGAAATGTACAACTCCTCCTTATTCCAAAGGATATTAGCACTTTCCACAGTACTCCCTTGAATCAGGGCCTAAAAGCATGCCTGCAGACGGGAGATTAAATTTTGGCAATTTTTTATTTATTTAATTTTTTTTTTGTACTGATAGTGCTCAGCTTCTGCTGTCAACTAACTGGCATCAAGCAGAGCAATCCAAGGACCCAGCTTTCCTTCCCAGGTATTCATATTCCTACTCCCAAACATCTTTTTTGCTACATCTCTGCAAGGCAAAGCACAAATTTTTCCAGGAAGCCAGCTGTTTGATAAGCCAGGGGATTCTCAGTTTCTTGCCAGCACAAAGAGGAATGTGCTGTTCTACAGTCAGAGGGAAAAAAAAGGGTTTTCAGAAGTATTACGCCTGGTTCTTAGCACGCAGCACCAAGGTCACGTCTAGCTGTGTGTCAGGCAGCCTCAATAATTCCCAGCTCCACATTTCAGCTGAAAAAACCCTATCATCTTTGGGAAGAAAGACACTGTCAGTACAGATGGAGGTTGCATGCTGGTGACAAGTCATGCAGCAGATCCTTCTGAGATACGTGCTGCACATGGCACAGATGTCTCTTGGAGTGAAGGACTCCAAAAATCCTCAGTCTGAGCTGGAAGTTTTGGACTTCATAAATGAAGTGAGACCAAGAAGCACAAAATCCTGACAGCAATTTCTCAGATGGACCAGCGAGTTTTCAAACCCATTAGACAACCTCAAGGAGTACATGGATGCTTTCTGCTGTGTTAACCTTTATCTTTAGCCCCTTTTACAAGCTGGAGAGACTGCATCTGAAATGAGGCAGAGCAATGGGAACCCAGGAGCCTCTCCACCACACAGTTAGCTGAGGAGGAACAAATCACGGTGAATAATCACAGGGACTTCTGCACTGACTGTTCAAAAAGAAAACATTGATAATTCAGAGTTTCCAAACAAGTCCATAAACTCGTACCTTATATTTTAATTTCAGTAAGAGAGTGTATACTAACAGGATGAGAAAAATGACAGTGCTCTGACTATGAATATCACGGTTTACAATTTATATAGACCTGTCTTTGTATTCAGTGATTGCTTAAAAAAAAAAACAACAACAACAAAAAACAACAAAACAACAATACCGTGGTGGCAGAGTTTTCAACCCAACTTGAAAAATATAACATCACCTGTAACTTCAGTTTTTTCTAATCGGTACTAATTGCCATGGAGTTCGCAATTTCTCTAATGAGATTTGTAATACCTGGGCCTTAGGAAAAACACTGCACGGTCTAAGAGGACCACATGCCAGTTAAATAACAATAAGCAACAGGGCAGAGTGCTAAGTCAATTGGAAGCCCGTTTTCTCCAGAACCAGAAAGGCAAGCAGCTAATTAAAACACCGTGTGGGTGCCTGTGTGAGGTGTAAGAGAGCACTGGGCCACAAACAGGCTTTGGCTGCGTGCCCGCATACAGAAACACACTAATTAAAGCGAATTAAACCGTTTTGAGAAGCAATGTAACATTTGTACCTCCTCAGCCTACCCCAGAAAAATCACCCCCCTCCCTCAGCGTTTTGTAAGCGGTCTTCTTTAGAGGAGTCACCGTGGGTTTCCAATTTTCTTCTTTGACTCAAAGGATTATTTTGGATTTCAGAGGTCAGAGACTAATCGGGGCAGGAGAAAACAAAACCAAATGAAAACCATTTATCCTTTAGTCCACATCTAAAGATCAAAAAAAGAAAATCAGCTTACGAAACAAACCATTTGCTTCATTATTCCTCTTGTGGGAAAGCTCGACTTCAAAACAGGTGGAGATACGGGGATCTTATTTACTCTTAGAAACGTGTATCCCTTGTGCATGAGACTTGACATCCAGAGTGTGCACAGAACCCTTAGAAACACGTTTATACCTTGGCAAAGGAGAGTTGCCTGGCCATCATACCACTGCTCCCCTTCCAGCATCACTCACCGATCGATACTCGTAATAGATTTTATCGTACTCGTTGCCCCCAATGGTGATTTCTGGAATGAAGCGAGGGATGGCCACGGGATCCAGCACTCCATCTTTGTCCTGAACACTGGGGGGGAGGAGAAAAAAATCAGAGAAAGAAGAAACAACAGTTAGTCCACATCCTGCCCCAAAGACAAAAAACACGAATTCTGAGTTTGACCAAATATTAAAGAAATACTCTTCTTTTAAATAATACTTCCACAGGTTTGGCTATTTTCAGGTTATGACGAATTATGAATTCATCATAGAATCATAGAATTCCCAGGCCGAAAGGGACCTCCAAAGGCCATCTAGTCCCACCTCCCCGCAGTCAGCAGGGACACCCCCAACTAGACCAGGTTGCCCAGGGCCTCGTCCAGCCTCTCCTTGAATATCTCCAGGGATGGGGCCTCAACCACCTCCCTGGGCAACCTGTTCCAGTGCTCCACCACCCTCACAGTGAAGAACCCTCTCCTCATCTCCAGTCTAAATCTGTTCCCCTCCAGCTTGAAGCCATTTCCCCTCGTCCTGTCACTACAGGCCTTTCTAAACAGGCTCTCCCCAGCCTTCCTGTAGGCTCCCTTCAGGTACTGGAAGGCTGCTATTAGGTCTCCCCGGAGCCTCCTCTTCTCCAGGCTGAACAACCCCAGCTCCCTCAGCCTGTCCTCGGAGCAGAGGTGCTCCATCCCCCTGATCATCCTCGTGGCCCTCCTCTGGACCCTCTCCATCAGGTCCATGTCCTTCTTCTATTGAGGGCTCCAGACCTGCACACAATACTCCAGGTGAGGTCTCACCAGAGCAGAGTAAAGTGGCAGAATCCCCTCTCTGGACCTGCTGGCAACGCATCTTTTGATGCAGCCCAGGATGGGATTGGCCTTCTGGGCTGCAGCTGCCCACTGCCTGCTCATGTCCAGCTTCTCCTCCACCAGAACCCTCACACAGCTACTGTGTTTTCCCCAGCTTGTTCCTGCTCCAACTTCTCCCTATTTCTCCATTCCCTCCCCCAGGATTTTGCTGCCTGGAGACGATCTGTCATTCCCGGGAACCTTCTCCATAAGGCATCTCCAGCTTTTTGCTTCCCTATACAAACAAGGGAGAACCAGTAGTTTTATTGAATCCCACACACTATCTTGCAACATCAACTTCATTTTATTGCCTCTTGTTCAATTAGTTTTCACAAATGAACCCTCACAAGGAGTAAAATGGATCCCAAATGGATCAAGGCAGGTTTTGGAAGCAGGCAGTGCCTCCAGAATCCTGCCTGGGAGTAAAGAGGGGGCACTTGCTGCAGCACCTGAAAGAACAGATAATCAAGATCTACCCAAAAGCCACGCTGCCTGACGCCAGCACTTCCAAATATCCCAAACTTGAAAGGTCTGAGAAGCTGCTAGAAAGCCCCCTCCTGCACACTGGTATTATACACAGACCAACAGTGCCACCTGCACGCAGTTGGGAAAAAATACATCCATTTGCAGTGACCAAATTCTCAATTCAACACTTGAATTCACAATTTAACTCCGCAAATTGTGTTGCTTTCAGTGAATTGCATTCCTTTACAAATATTTAAATACACATAAAGTACATACCCTGAGCATAGCGAAGTTAATAATCTTCAAGCAATTTTTTTTTCCCCTAAATAACCATTTTTGGGACCTTTCCTCACAATACTGAACAGTTTCAACAAGTAAATTAGTCTGCTAATGTATCCTAACATGCACACTGTAAATTATCCTACTACGGACAAATTAGTAAGGAAATACAATAATCTAGGAGAAGTTGAGATGGGACAACTCGTCTGCAGTTAATCCATTCCTCCACGAATCTCAGCCAAATGGCAATTGTAGAAGACAATTCCCAGGCACAACTCAATTTTAGTTAGTAGCCAAGATGGAAAACCTGCTGCTGTTAGAACTTCTGTGCTCTCACAATGAAACGCCTCCAAAGAAACCACTGCACAACAAAAGAATTCAAACATCATGCAATCAAAGATGGCTTCTCCAGCTTCAGGTCTGCTCTGCACCTTAAGAAATAACTTTGAATCCTCAAAGCACCACCCAGAGACACCTGCCACAACAACATCTTTAACCACAAAACCACACTCGCTTGTCAGAACTAATTCACTGCTCAGAAGGAAGCATTTAAAGGTACCTTTGATGTTTCCTTAGGTTTTCTCTCTCCCCCAGCACAAAATTATCACTATTGATTATTTTATGGCACTTAACCATATTTTCTTGAAACAGCTCTCATCGTGCAGTAGCATAACTTTCCCAGAGCATGCTTCACCTATCCATAAGATTATGTGACGTTTCAAACTCAACTGAGCACACAAGTGACTGCGTCATCCTAATATTGCAGGGATGAGATTTTAGCTCACTATGGTTGCACCCATCCATAGCCCTATTAGCTAGAGCTCTTCCAGTTGCTCCACAGGAATCACACTAGTGCACACACGACAGCAGCTCATCTCTTCTCTAAAAGCACCTCTTACACACCCACTCCATGCATGATGTCCAGCAGGTTCTGAGGAATCAGGACTGACACGTTCCCATCTCTGTCCAGAGAAGGGAGTCCCATTTCCCTTATGAGCAGCTAAAAACAAGGATACACAAGTTTTATAGGGAACTTGCAGAAAGCTGATGACACACAGGGATTACAAACTGTCCTGAAGTTAGTGCAACTCGTCTGTCAGCTGGATATACTTTCCAGAACTTCTGGTTTTTTTTCCCCTAGCTTTTTTTTCCCCACCTCTGTATAAAATAAAGTCACAATGAACATTAGAAAGTCCTATAAACATATCTGCTAAAGGTGCAAGGTCAGGTAAAGAAAGTATGCTGGTTGAAAAAGAAAAAAAAAAAAAGTAGTTAAGAGCCAATCAACCAACAAACCCCCCAGTTTGCATAGCCTGTGCCATGATTTCTCAACAACTGCTGTTGGCACAGTCGCAAAAACTGAAGTGACAATACACAGTATTAGAAAACCACACTTAGTACCCAAAGGCATTCACTGGTCTAAGAGGCTTGGAGTCAGCAATACAAAAGTACATCAAGATAAATTCTGCACTTTTACATGAAAGTCAATTGAGAAATAGCAGGTGGATCCCACTGGAATCACGGAATTTTTAGAGTTGGACGGGACCTTCTAGAGCCCATCCAGTCCAACTCCCCTCCCAAAGCAGGGTTGCCCAGAGCACATCACTCAGGATGGCATCCAGGCGGGGCTTGAAGATCTCCAGAGAAGGGGACTCCACACCCTCCCTGGGCAGCCTCTGCCAGGGCTCTGCCACCCTCACCCCAAACAAGTTCTTCCTCACATTGGAGTGGAACTTCCCATGGTCCAGCTTGTGCCCGTTGCCCCTCGTCCTGTCACTGGGAACCACTGAGAAGAGTCCGGCTCCATCCTCCCTCAACCCACCCTTAGACACTTGTCAGCATTGATAAGGTCTCCCCTCAGCCTTCTCTTCTCCAGGCTCAAGAGCCCCAGCTCTCTCAGCCTTTCCTCATCAGGGAGATGCTCCAATCCCTCCATCATCTCTGTTGCCCTTCGCTGGACTCTCTCCAGCAGTTCCCTGTCTCTCTTGAACTGGGGAGCCCAGAACTGGAGGCAGGATTCCAGTTGT